CAGAGAAGCCTGATCAGAGCTGGCACCTTGGACCCAGCTGGAGGTGGCTGACCTCCTGGCCACTTGGGTCCAGGAGGACATGCCTTGACAGTTCAAAGCAGGTCACCACACTGAGCAAATCTTCCGGGAGATTGCTGCCCAGAAGGCCGGGTGGTGGCACACATGGCAGAAGTGCTGCACAACGGCCCACTGTGCAGCCACAGCCCACTAGCAGCTGGCCCAGAGGTGCAAATGCCTCTATGGGCCATGCAGACCCCATCTGAGTCTGGCAGGCATGCACCCTTGGGGCCACATACTGTCACAGGTATCAGCAGGTCACAGCCAGGCAGCAGCCCCACACTGCCAGACTGCTGCAGTGGTTGGAGGGTACAGGGAACTCTCAGGGCTACTTCAGCAATCCATCTGGCACAAGGGGTAGTGTCCCCAGATACCAGTTGGCCAGGCCCCAGAAGCTCCTGTCTATTTGTGTGTTCCAAGTTAACCTGAGCCTTAAGGCCCACCCAGCAATTAATAGCCCATACTATGTGGGGCCAATAGGTGAAAGACGCAAATAAATTTCTTGTGACAAGAAGAACAAAAACCAGGGTGGGAGTGTCATGTGGGGCAAAGGGTCAAAATATGAAAAAAAGTGCTCCAGAGGGGGATACCAAGCAGAGCCCCTCAGGCTGCACCCACTGGTTCTCAAAGGCATCCAAGAAACAGGTGGATGCCGCGCATTGGTGCTCTGCCTGGGAATGTGCACAGATCAGTGAGAGGAATGTGGCTGTGCAGTCCCCAAGCAGGAGAAGGTTCTGGAGGTGGAGGTGGAGGTGGAGGTGGAGGGACTGCAGCCTGGTGCACTTGAAGGTCATGTGCGCCATGGTCTCTGTCTTCCCACCAAAGGAGCAGGAGACCAGGGTGTCTGTAAAGCTCACCACATACACACCCATGGCAATGGCTCCATGGAGAAGCCACCAGCTGAGGTCCCCAGTGACTCATGGGATGAGGGTGGAGTACAGGCTCAGCCAGTGGAGTACCTCAGCCATGCCCTCACCAAGCAGGTTTTGCCACTTGGTGGCAGCATAGTGGATGGTGCAGTGTATGAGCGTGTAGAGGTGGCAGTGATGGACAGTGGAAAAGTGGATAGGTTTGGTGTCCCCCCAGAAGCTCCTTAGAGCAAGTAGCCCTGAGCTACTTGCCAGGGCAGCTTTTTATACTGCTGGGGCCAGCACAGGGCAGGTTTTTATATTGCTGGGGCCAGCACAGGTGCTGGCCTCAGGCTTCAGCTCTCCCTAGCTACAGATCTGGGAGGAGCCAGGCAGGGTTATTATGCCCCAAGTGGCACAATTTGCCCCGCACCAAAGTGCATGTCCAGGCACATGTGCTGAGGCAAAAAGCCCTGGTTCAAATTTGTGCCACTTCTATTTGAGCTGCTGAAAGCGCACGTGCCTGCATATGTGGATGCATCCTGAGTGTTTAATTTGGGCCCATTTTTGAATTGGTAAATAAATTATTGCACAGGCATCAGGGCCAGATCCTGCAGCCCCTGGGTAACATTCATGAGACAGTAGTGTTGCGCTAGATCAGATTCTAAGATAAATGCATTACCTAGACTCTATAGAAGGCTAGAAATATGCACAGAATGTAAAGCAATGCTGCTTTTAAAAAAAAATGTTATGGCCAGAAATTTGATTTCCTCTGTAATATTTCAGTAGCTTGTTTATGGGAAGAAGATCCAACAGATGATGACCCAGAAACTTGAAAGAATTCTTTGTCTGGTTGAATTTTTTGGCAGGCATACCAGTATGCTTACAGTACTTCTAAATACCATGTGAGCTCTTCCATCAAAGAAATAATACAAACTGGAGGTATGTGTTAAGCATAAAAAAGGCTGATAGAAATAGCTCCACATTCCTTTTTATTTATTAATGCCACAGACGAGCTGGTTTTCTCATGAGAAAGGTGCTCATGAATTTTCATTCAAAATAATAAATTGATGTCCACACTTTAAGAAATATGTTTAGGGTTCAAGGGATTAGACATGCAACTCCGCATATCTGATTCCCTGTTTACCAAATTAAAATATACGCCTTAATGTCATTACAATTATTATGTAGCTAATATGATTTTAGTCCTTTAACCAGAAAAGCATGTTGAAGGAAGTTTGAGTTGTCTACTCCTTAATATATCTTCTAGCATTCCTCTTGGCAATCTTTGGGTACCCTGTTTTGACCAACATTTTTTAAATTCAATCAGTAGACTTGGATTATCTACCAAAATCAGGTAACAACTGTAGCTCCTGCACCTACCACAGAAGCAATATTTCAGAAGCTAAGCTTCTCTTGATTCTGCCTGTGGCAATGTGAAGAATTACCTAGTAAGCACAGAAAAAATTGATTCTGAACATAAAAGGAACATTCAGCCTAACAGAAATACTGAGAGTTATATTTTAATCTTACTGTATCTCTGAACCTACATTTGCCCTAGTTTGTTACCTTTATTTATTCCTACTACCTTCCAGATTTTAATAACTAATTGGTATATTTGTTTAAAAAAAAAGAAGATACCTTTTAAAGTATCAGCTTTAAGGTTCTTTTTAACAATTGGGAGTTATTTCAAAATAGTTAACATATTGCTGACCAAACTTTATTATCATGAGGGTGACCCTGAGGAACAACATTTAAACTTTGGTACACATCTGGATTTAGAAATCCCATTGTGTGACAAGCATAAGTTTCCAGCATTTTGGCTTAGCCTATTATAGTAAAAATCTCCCCCACTTCCAGGTTTAGTTTTTGAAACATCCACCCTTTTCCTGTCTTGCAGAAAGTATATAGAGTGTTTGGATCCAGATTTGAATTCAAATCATGTCCATCCCTTTTGCAAGATTTTTAACTTGTATAAACTGATGGAACACATGAAAGTCAGTAGAGCTACAACTGACTATCAGGGCCTTTCTTTAATAAGCAGTGTTCTGCCCATCTGTTTTTATGACCTCAGTTAATTTTGAGACATAATGGCAAAACAATAGACTATCAATGATACAGATAGAGTGATAGAAAGATCAGATAATTCTCTGAAGTATGGGCAAGGACTACCCAGTGTTTCATTGAATTGTGAGCACAACAGACCCCACTGAAGAAAAGTCTAGTGTTTAGTTTGAAAATGAAAACCCAACTGAACTCCTCCTGATGAATGGAAAGTGCCTTCAGCTCCTAATGAGGCTATTATTCTTCAGTCATAACTATTTGGCCCTTTATGTCTTCTTTAAAATGGTAGAGTTGCTTATACATTTAGAACCTGAATGATTTTAAACAAGTGAGCAAATCATAAATTTGTTGAGTAAGTGTATGCTAAATGTAGTAGATTAATCTAGAAAGTTACTACAGAAGCAAAGATCAACAGTTCTGAATTGCATAATACTTTGCGGGGGAGGGTTTTAAATATATATTTAAAGAAGGCTTCTCCACTGTTCTGTCCTTTCACTAGAAAAAGAGTGTTTCTCATTGCATTAATTAAATCTACAAGCTTTGGATGACTGTGGACATGGTACTTTATTTAATGGTAATTAAAACTACAGTAGTATATAGAAACAATCTCATTATTATCTTGTCTCTATTGCAGCATTGCTCAGATGTGGTAAGATTAATGATAAAGATGTAGAGACCAAAATAAAGTTTCTAAAGCCTTAAAAAAATTGCCTAAGTAAACAATCATTAAAATCATGGATATATACTCACTTGATTTATAATGATGGCTGTTTATTCATAGCTATTGATAAGGTTTTTGTTAGTTTATAGTTTGACAAGTCTTGGGGATTTCTTTTAAAAGGTATCGTTTTGGCTATTTTGCAGTTTTTCAGTATGTACCTTCTTTCTTGTATCACAGTATTTTAGAAGATTCTGTGCTTTGCTTATTCACTAGGCTTTCAGTAGAGAATCACATTAATCCTTTTAAGCTTCTTATTCTAATGATTTATTTTGTTGAAAACAGTAGTGATCCTCCTTTGAATTTTAATGATTGCTGGCTATTCAAGGATTCATTGTTTTGACTTCCTGTCCTTACCTTTGTTTCTTACATGTCTGTAGGGAACACCTGTCTAATACTGTATCTGGCCTTAGTTCTCACTGGCTTACCATATTCACTCAAGCCTATCTTAAAGCGTTAAGTTGAAATGCTAGCTACTCATCCATGAAAATAAATGTAGGATATATATTTACAGAGATAGGCAGATAGACAGCAAAGGGATGGCTATATGGATTGAGTCATTTTTCTGTGAAAATAATATTTTTTGTGTAAATTGTTGTCCGTGATGATCATTGTAGAAAAGTTTGTTAAATTTAATGTTAGCACTTTAAAGAAACAATTAGACAGGATTATCTACCTTTTTTTATTTCTACATTTTTAAATTAAATATAGCATGCCAACAGTTGTCAGAATTTAGTGTCAGTCACTGAATTTAGGTCATGGCACTGGCTTAAATTAGATTTCAATTTTCATTTTTATCCACTCTGTATAAATACAATGTGTCTCTTTAGAAATATAACTAGGAACATCATGAGTTTTCAAGAATATATTATTCTAATACAAGATTTTAACAACTACACTGTATTTATGCATAATACATTTTGTTCCTTATCTACAGCCTTTTGGACTTTGATTCAGAATATCAGGAGCTCTGGGATTGGCTGATTGACATGGAATCCATAGTGATGGACAGCCATGACCTGATGATGTCAGAGGAGCAGCAGCAGCATCTTTACAAGGTTAGAGCTACCGTTACTGCCTTTACCTAGCTATAGAAGATCTGATTAGCTTGACAAGTCTTTCTCTCACAGGATATCGCTATGTTCATTGTATGTATCATGGTGTCTATTAGAATTCTCTTCCCTGTCCCCAACCTCATTTCCATCCCCTGTGCGCTGACAGGCTGCACCGACATCATAATTGCAAGAAAGTTCCCTTTATCACATTCTATTTCGTGTAATTCTATAGAAGGACAAAGATTTGTCTTCAAGATGAATGGAAATAAATGAAACCGCATTAATAAATAGACTGAAACAAAATGAAGAAAAAATGAAATGGTAGCATTTAACAAAATGTGTTTTGATTGGAGCTTTCAGCTATATTTTTATCCACCTTTCAGACCTTTCAAGGGAACAGAGGAATTTGCCTTGATTTTGGTTAAGTGCTGCTGGAATACAGGACTCTTCCAATTTAATTTTTATTAGTTATACAAAAGGCAGACGTTGCCATGTTAAGTCAATATACTTGCTTGTGATTTAAGCAAAATGCCGTTGACCTCGTGTATTGATTTCTGGCCCGTCATATAATAAATATGCACTGCTTCTCTTATTTTCCATTGCAACCTTAGTCCAGAACTCTTTATCACTTCTTTTTTATAATAAATAGTTTTAAGAAGTTCTCCAAAATGTTGGGGTTTATGTTAAAACTGCTAAAGACTTTCCTGTGTGTCTAAGGAACTGTAGTCTTACAAGTGAGGGGGTTGGGGGAGGAAAGGAGGAGCTTTCCATAGAAATATCAGGCTGCAGTAAATCTTCCTCATTTAGGCAATTTTTATTGGAGTAATTCTGACAGTTGTCATCCTTGAATTGCTTTGAGCATATGGCATATTTCAAAGAGCAGATTGTGAATCATAAAAAATAAAATTAATAACTAACCACAGAATCAGCAACAGTATAATGACAAGAAACAACTACCCTCTAGGTTTTTTTTATTTCTTATAGAATAAATGGTACATTCAAGGTCAAATAGAAGTTGTTTTCTTTCTTCTTTGGCTACATGATTTGATAATTTGTTAAATATAATTCCTATTTTTTCTTAATTGAACTTTTCCAATTTATTGATACGGCTTGTGCATTTTATTCTATATAAATCTGTTTCTTTTATTTAAAATAAGCAGAAGCTTAAAATGCCAAATAGGATAAAATACCTTCACATCTAGAGAATTTGGTTTCAGATCTAATTTATTGTGGATTACAGCTGAGTTCAGTTTAGTGTCCTGAGTTTCATTCATTCATTTGTTAACGTTTAATAAAAAGAAAAGAAAAATACCACCCATATATCTAAACATATAATTTTGCACACCTGATACTCCTGAGTCTGTTCAGGGAAGGGATTAAGGTAAACAATGCATGCCAAGTCAGAATGAAGATACTTTGTTGATGTATATCTGTGCAGTGGAAATTTCAAAATGCTTGTAATATGACTTTATATGGCATTTTTTTCATCTGTACATTCAAAAACTCAAAACATGCAACAAATGTATTTTTCCCCCTAAAACTACTAACATAATCAGCATAAATATTAAGGTATTTGGCCTTGCTATTCAGTTTACCATTTGAAAAATGTTTGTTACCTGAATATATTCTGAATGCAGCTACTGAGGGTTAATATAAGAGGTAATGAGGAGATAGGGCTTTCGGGGAGGTACAGAAGAGGGCAGTAATTTACGCATAGGTTTGCATTACAATCTGGTAGCAAAATGACCAGTGGAATTTTAGGTTTATAATTCTTTTGCCACAAAACATGACAAGATAGTCCCGTGACTTGACTGAGTCTTTGGTTATGCTAGCTTCTGTTGGCCCAATGATTCTAAGACTGGCAATTCCTAAAAGTGGGCTCCTGAGTATGGAGCCCCAGTCAGGAATTAAAGATTATAGACTGACTGCTTTCTCTCCTAAAGTAAAGGGGACATTTTCTGTTTCCATGGGTTGCAGGTTAGGCAGGAGGAACATTAATTAAGCTATCTGTATTATTGATGTGCAGCTGCATCTAGAATATTAGATTCCTTGTTGAACATCTCCATAACAGACATATTGCAATACTGAAGGGACTTCAGAAAAGAGAAACAAAATAATTGCGGTAAAAGAATTAACTATAAGGAAAGATTTAAAAAAACAAAATATAGTTTTTAGCATGACTAAGGGATGAACATGGTGCATCTACACATGCATTTTAATGTGCATTAGCCTATTTTAATGTGCATTAAAGCATCACAAAACTGTGTACTTTTGCTAATGCGCACTAAAATAAGCTAATGCGCCTTTTTCCAATACCTCACAATGGAGGTACTAAATTTAATATGCATTAGCAAAAGCACATTAATGAACATGTAGATGCACCCACTATGTACTACCAACATGTATTTGAAAGTAGCAAACACTGAAGGAGCTTATTGACTTGGGGAACTAACAGGAGACATAAGTATAAGAACAAGAAAAACAGATGAGTGCAGACATTTGGTTCCTCTGGGACAAGCTACTTGTCCTTGGGGAACCCCCATGCCACACATGGTTTGGCATATGGCAGGTTACTCCAGGGGCTTTAGGGGAGGCACAGCAGCTTTACCTGGGGTTCTGGGGGCCTCCCAGGGCTGCAGCAGTGACCATCCTGCCCAGCAGAGCCCGGCTGGCAGCTACAGTGTGGCTCCAGGTGGCTCAGCTCCACTTTTCAGCAGTGCACACAGCCCATGCGTGTGTTTTTCCAGTTTTATTTAGGGATCAAAAAACCCGTGGGGAAAAAAAAACAGAGTGGTGTACGCAGGGGCAGCATGCCCTTGCAGCATGGAGAACACCTGACTGTGCAGTATGTAGTGCTACAGACATGTTTGCAGTGCCACATACCGCACAGTTGCACTCAACTGGATGCACCCAAGGAGTTCAGGATAAATATTGAGAAAAGTATTTTAGAATGGAGATCTATTACATTTTAGGACAGTCTCCCAAAAGAAGTACTGTAATCTCCATCACCTCATGTGTTTACAACCAGACTGAGCAGAACATTTTAAACTATTCTTGAAAGAGCAATACTGCACTGACATATTTTAATCTCTAGTTTCTGTGATTTTAGTGATCAGAATCCTTAATGTTCTTACAAGTTGGCAGTATTGATATTTCTAAAAATATAACCTAAATGAACTGTCCTATAAACCATAATAAATATTTTCAATAGCAACTGACATCCTACTTATTTGAGGGAAATTTTAGGCTAGGGACAGAATTTACACATAAACTGGTTGAAGTGATCAGAAACTGGTTTAAACCTGTAACAGAACAGAAGTTCAGTGCACATAAACCACTTTCAAAATGACCAAAACTGGTTTAAGATAAACCTGGTTAGATGTAGTATCAGACTTAACTGATTTAGGTCAAACTGGTTTATGGAACTTCTGTCTCAGATCCCTTCCTGGTTCAAGTTAACTCTCAGTTCCCCAGCATCCCAAGATGTTTTGCAGGCCTGGGCTATACTGCCTACTCCAGTGGAGCAAGTGCTGCCTCACACCTCGGTTCCTTAGCCTGCCTTCTGCCTGTATCCATCAGCTCAGAGGCACAGAAGGCAGGGGAACAGACCCCCAGACCACCCAAGCTGAGTCTACACAGCACATGGCAAGAGAAAAAGCCCCTGTGGTAGGGGCTTTTCAGACTCTGGAAGCCCTCTCCCCTTCCCTTCCCCCCCCCCCCTTCCCAGCTGCTGATTGCTTCAGCAGCTGCCACTGGAGGGAGAAGGAGTCCTCTGGGTCAACTGCCTGCCCATGCAGCCCAGCATGGGGGCACTGGGGAACCCCCACTTTGGGGGACTTCTACCCACCCCAGCCCAGGGTCCCCCACCCCGGGAAGCCCCAGGAAGCTGAGAGGAATTCTTCCCCTCCTGAACACCTACTTGTCTGGGTCAGTGCAAGCCTCCCTCTGCCTTTTCCAATTGAAAACTGAATATCAGTTCAGTTAATTCTTGGTTCAACCTATGCAGCTTAGAGGAAGTTGCCTAGATTGAATCGATTCAGCCTCAGGCTTTATGGCTGTATGTATTTAGCCATAGAGTCCTTAGTGGTCTTCTAGCAATCATAGAATCATACAAAATGAGGGTTGGAAGGGACCTCAGGAGGTTGTCAACACCCTGCTCAAGGCAGGACCATCCCCAATTAGATCATCCTAGCCAAAGTTTGTCTAGCCGGGTCTTAAGGACTATAAGGTGGATAGAAAATGGCTGGAGCATCAGGTTCAGAGAGTAGCAATCAATGACTCAATGTCACCTTGGCAGCCAGTATCAACTGCAGTGCTCCATGGGTCAGTCCTGGGGCTGATTTTGTTCAATGTCTTCATCAACAGCCTGGAAGATGGCATAGAGTGCACCCTCAGCAAGTTTCCAGATGACACCAAACTGGGAGAATAGTAGATACCTTGGAGAGTAGGGCTAGGATTTAGAGTGCCCTAGACAAATTGGAGGACTGAGTCAAAAGGAATTTCATGAGGTTCAGCAAAGACAGGTGCAAAGTCCTGCACTTAGGATGGAACAATCCTATGCACCAGTACAGGCTGGGGGCTGACCAGGTGGGCAGAAGCTCTGCAGAAAAGGACCTGGGGGGTTACAGTAGACAACAAGCTGAATATGAGCCAGCAGTGTGCGCTTATTGCAAAGAAGGCTAATGGCATACTGGGCTCCATTGGTAGATGTGTTGCCAGTAGGTCAAGGGAAGTGATTATTGTGCAGCACTTGGGAGGCTACATCTGGATATTGTGTTCAGTTTTGGGCCCCCACTATAAAGGATGTGGTCAAATTGGAGAGAGTCCAGTGGAGGGCTACAAAAATGAGGGGCTGGGGGACCTGACTTTTGAGGAAAGAATGAATGAACTAGACTTATTTAGTCTAGAGAAAAGGGGACTTAATAGGGGACTTCAACTGCCTGAAATGGGGGTTCTAAAGAAGATGGAGCTAGACTGTTCTCAGTGGTAGCAGGTGACAGAAC